TAAAAAAAATCAAGTACTTTAGTACTTTCACTCGAGTAAAATTGAAAACAGAGTACTTTTACTGGAGTAATATTTTATAATACGGATCTGTACTTTTACTCAAGTACTGGATTTGTGTACTTCGTCCAACACTGCTAGTGATTAGTAGTTAGCATGCTTCGCTAGTATGCACAACAGAAAATCCCGCTCACTAGTGTTCTAGTTTATGAATTTAGCTTAAGATGAGAGTCGAACCATTATGCACATTAGTACACACGACACATTTATTATAATTAGTGCGATTTTACCGCCGCGCTAACTAGTCCTCACTAACCTGCTGTCATCGGAGATGTTTCTGATGAACAGAGACGTGTTTGGAGGTCGCATGTATCTCGCCATGATAAAAATAAAAGCAAAACGGCAGCCTTCAGCTCCTCAGACGCACACGAATCAACGCGCCGCACGCACAGGCCGCAGTCCAGATCAGTGTGTGTACACGTACACAACGCGTGCGTCACGCGCAGCCACGCGCATGTGCGCCGTGACATCACCGAGACAGACAGAGTTTTGAGGCTGAAGATGTGATTAACTTTTGATTTTATGCTGTTCTCCTGTATGTTTGCAAAAAAATTTTATTTTTATTTTTATAGGCCTATATTTATTGCAGAATAAAAAAATTACATATATTTTATTTTATTAAAAAAAAAAAAAATAAATGTGTGCCTAGCCTAAATACGCACACAAATCGACCTGTTTATTGTAATGTTGTTTAATATGGTCTTTAAAATGTAAAAATATACATATTTATTGAAATAAGCCTTTATACTAATGAATACAGAAGTTCAATAATATCCAACATCATTATTGAGTTTGAAAAATAATGATCTGTTAAACATTTTAGTGTTTTTCTTAAAGAGGTCATATAATGCTACATGCACTTTTACAAGTAGTTTGAACTGAAATGTGTGTAGGCAGTATTTGTAGTTGTATAAACATACTTTTCTTTTCTGACTTATACTTTTCATTAAGACCCTAAAGAATCATATCAACTTGTGGAAAATGGGCATATGACCCCTTTAACTGTTTTAGGTTTATTCCTATCTTTTGATTTTATTTATCCATTAATATTTTTCTGGCTTTGAGTGTCTTCAAAACAAATAAACATTTATTCATGGAGAGAGCAACATTTTTTATTTTCATTCATTCATTATTTATTTATTTATTTTTTGGTATTTTATTTTATTTTTTAAACTTTCATTCTACTGGAAAGGTTGGACTGATTTCTCAGGACAAAAATATTTAACATGTCAGGTTGGGGCAGGTTATATGTGTTTTATATGTTAATTTCACATAATTTATTAATTACAGTACATGCTGGCCAATATAAACGTAATCATTCAATCTTTTATAATTCTATATATATATACACACACACACACACACACAAACATTATATTAAATTAAAATAAAATGTTATATATATATATATAGCTATAGCCCATTTAAGAATAATATCCAATCAGCTATAACCACTTTTTTCAGTTGTACTTTTTCAGTACTATAAATATATATTTAAAATCAACCTGAAATTAAAATATATCTTTTCACTTAATCTTATTATACTGTACACGATTCCAAAGAAACAAATGTCTTTGTCATTTTTTTTTTTTAAATTAAGAAAAGATTTTGATCTCTCGTGAAACTGAGCTTCTGTACTCTATATCAACTCTTCTTGAACAGGTCGACATCATGAAGAGATATAAAGCCATGTTTTACCTTGAGCTTCTTGCCGTCCATGGTGGTGATTTCAGCTTCCTTGCCGATGGTGAAGGAGTTTGTGAGGGATTTCCCAGGAGTTTTGGATGTGATGGTGAAGTCGTTGCCGTTTTGTTGCATTTCTATCACTGGTTTAACATCTTTGGCCATTTTAATGACATCTTCTGGCAGAGCTGAAGGAACAAAAACACACAGATAGTGAGCGACCTACAATCATGAAAGAGAATTCAAATGAAATCATTTCAGATATTCCATCTCATGCTTTCTTTCCCAAAAGCATTGCATGCATAAGTAGATAGTGGAAATATATGATGCTTTGGGGAAATGCAACACTGATCGTTTCACAAAAACTCACAGACGGCTCTCAGGAACTCCTCGTAGTTCTCCTGCACGTAAACCTGCCACGTTCCACTGAAGGCCATGTCTGCTGCTGATCTGACCGCTGGCACGAGCCTTGGACCGCTGTGAGAAGCTCAACACAATGTGAGGAGGACGTTCATCTCAGACCAGTACTTATACTCACTATGAGTTTAATCATTGACATTCTGCCAGTCTTCCCTTCTGTTTGAACAACCCAGAGTTCACTAACATCATTCGTCAAGTCATGCTTCTCTCTAAATCCAGTCTTTTCTTTTAAAAAGACAATTCAATATGATGGAAAATTACACCAAGCCTTAACTTGCATCCATTCATCTATTAAATCTCAAATATATATTTAGAAATCTGTGACGTTCACTGGAGTCAGAGACTTTATTTTTATTATCATTTTTTAAGGAAATTAATACTTTCATTCATCAGGGAAGCATTAAACTGACCAGAAGTGACAGTAAAGACATTCATAATGTTACAAATGCTTCAAATAAATGCTGTTCTTTTGAACTTTCTATTCATCAAATAATCCTGAAAAATAAAATGTATCACAGTTTTCATAAAAATATTGGGCAGCACAACTGTTTTCAACATTGATAATAATCAGAAATGTTTCTTGAGCAGCAAATCAGCATATTATTATGATTTCTGAAGATCATGTGACACTGAAAAACTGGAATAATGATGCTGAAAATACAGCTTTGATCACATATATAAATTATATTTTAACAGATATTCACATAGAAAGCAGTTATTTTGAAGTGTAATAATATTTCACAATTGTACTGTTTTTACTGTATTTTTGGTCAAATAAATGCAGCCTTGGTGAGCAAAAGAGACTTTAATCAAAAACACTAAAACATCAGAGTTTTTCTGCACTGATTCAGTGGGTGAATGAATGAATGACGCTATAAAAAAAAAGAACTAACCACACTTAACTACTAAATGAAAAAAAAAAAGATTATATAAAAATAATTATATAAATCTATATGTAATAATGCATCAAGATTTTCAGTCTAACAATGCTGAAATGATGCAGTGACACTCAAAACTAAAGTTAAAAGAGGAGATGCGGTGTGTGTTATCAAACTCAAAAAGAAAAACAAACATGACAACACCAGAGCAAATAATGCACAAGACACGATTTGCACGATTTATTCATGTTGCATGCAGTTTAGCATCATACACTGAGGGAGTGATGTGGCACAGAAAACAAACAAGAAAAAAATAAAATGGCACTTCATGTCAAAAAGGTTGCAAAATCCCGGTCTAGATCCTTCTCTCACTATTATCTGACTATGTTTTCTAAAAGAAACCCGTTGAAATACTAACACATGAGGGGTGAATGACCATGTGGACTGTGGAGTTTGCTTTCAAAAGAATCACCCTCGGGTTGCATAATGATATTTGAAACGGGCCTCAATCTCTCTATTATGAAATATCAGCAGATAAAACACCCATCCATCCATATACAGGCATAACAATCGATTGTGACCCCATTATAATGCTGCTGGAAAGTGTGTTCACAGTCTATTTGATCAACGTTTGCTGCACACTTGTGTTCCCTGATGCTCAACTTAGTTAAGAATGAACAAAGAGAGTGAAAAAGGTTTAATTTGCACTTTATTCTGTAAGTGGCGCAAGATAAATCAGAGGAAACAAACCACAGATCGAATCAACTCAGGCTTTCAGGACACTGACCTTCAGGACATTGCCTTCTAAAGCACCATTAAAGGAATATTCACCCAAAAATGAAAATTTGCTGAAAATGTCCTCACCCTCAGTCCATCCAAGATGTAGATGAGTTTGTTTCTTCATCAGATTTGGAGAAATGCAGCATTGCATCAGTGTCTCAGCAATGGATGCTCTGCAGTGAATGGGTGCCGTCAGAATGAGAGTCCAAACAGCTGATAAAAACATCACAATAATCCACAAGTAATCCACACCACTCCAGTCCATCAGTTAACATCTGGAGAAGACAAAAGCTGAAACAAATCCAGCATTAAAACGTTTTAACTAAAATACGAGTCCATAATCCATAACAACTCTTCCTGCAGTGAAAAGGTAATCTGGTCTGAATCAGGAGAGAAATCTGCACAGATCAAACACCATTTACAAGCCAAATCAGAACAAAACAGCTCTAAACAAATATGTGGGTGGATTTTGATGTGAGAGACAACAGGTGATTTCACTGGAGGAAGCGTTATTATGGACTTGTTTTTTAGTCGGAAGCAACAGTTTGAAGTCTATTTTAGTTGGAAGGACCAGTTTAAAATTAAAATGCCTTAAAAATGTACTTGTTTCTTACAAACACACAGCTTTTGTCTTCTCCAGATGTTAATGATGGACTGGAGTGGTGTGGATTACTTGTGGATTATTGTGATGTTTTTATCAGCTGTTTGGACTCTCATTCTGACGGCACCCATTCACTGCAGAGCATCCACTGATGCTACATTTCTCCAAATCTGATGAAGAAACAAACTCACATCTCGGATGGACTGAGAGTGAGCACATATTTATTTTGGACACCGTCATACAGGCTCTAAAATGAACACACACCATGTAAATAAGGCCATTGTTGACTTTAATAAAAACAGATTCACCCATCATTGATGTGGCAAAATATAACTTTACTCAATCACTGTGGCTTCTCTTACATTTGCACTGCATCTGCTCGAGGCTTTTCACCATGTTTATACACACTGACGGTCACGAGGACCGTCTGCGATCCGTGTTTATTGCGCACGAAGATGCTGTAGTTGCCCGAGTCCTCCATGGTCACGTGGTTTATAGTGAGAGTGGAGGATTTATTCTCATTTTTAATGTTATACTGGCCGGTGGAGGTGACTTCTCTGTCATTCTTCAGCCAAAACATTTCCGGTGCAGGATCGCCCTCAGCAAAACACGTCAGACACAGAGACTAAAGAGAAAGAGCATAGTTCAGTGATACGAGCTGAATGAGAGTCAGTGATGGATGGATGGATGGATGGATGCATGTACCTTGTCCTCCATTATGGCCACCACATCAGGAAGGCCCTTCGTGACTCGGGCTCGATCTGTCAGATGAATGGTTATTATGAAGTGTGTCGTCTGCATTAAGCAATTGCTTCATTAAAACACAGTTAGAGGAGTGACAAGTAACAAATACTTACTTTTCTCAGCAAACTCCACTTGCCTGTGAATGAGTAAAAAATACAATTACAGAGAGAATGAGTTTAGAACATTTTCAAATGAACACCACTAAAAGTTATTTAGTGTAATGTTCTAACCTTTCAATAAATATACAGAAAAAGACATGTTGCTGAATATTCAAACACATCTCGACTTACTTCAGTCTCTGGTGCTCCAGCAAAGCATCTGCGAACGCTGCAGAGAAGAAAGAGACGTGTTAGTGTTGAGGAGAATTGATTCTGCGGCTCCAGTCGCATGTTTCGTGCCGCTCTACCTTGTCCAGACAGATCCAGAGAGCGCTTGTGTGTTTCCTGGCCGTCGAACATCTCCAGGGTGTACTTCCCTTTATCATTTTCAGTGGGGCCAAATATCTCAATCCAAACCTTCTGCATGCTGCTGCCAGGCTTGCTCCGCTCCTCTAAGTCAATTCTCTTGTCTCTGTCACAGCGAGAGAATGAAACGATCAGAGGGAAAACAGACCCTGAATGTGACTGTACATAAAATAAAAACACACAAATAAAAGAATAACCGAACCAGTGTTGTTTTAGTACAGTATCATTGAGATATTATAGCTTTTTATTAATATTTTGAATTTGTTTTTATTTTTTTCCATTTTAATTTGAGATTTTTTAAAAATATGTCTGTATCGTTTTTATTAATGTTTATTTCAGTTTTAATTTTATTATTTTAGTACATCAAGTTCAACTAAATTAAAATTAAAAATGTTTCCTTGGAAACTATCTAAAAAAAAAAAAAAAAATAAATATATATATATATATACACTTATTTATTTATTTATAATTCAGTTCATGTTTATTTTATTTCAAGTAACAATTTTTTAGGGTTTTAGTTTCAGTTAACTCTGAACTGAACTAACCGACAATTACACATTTACACTTTCATTTCTTTTCATGTTTCAATTTACTTTGTGTCATAAATTTGTGCTACAATTTTAGTAGAGAAATAAATGAAATTAGTTAAATGTTACAATAACATTATAAAGCGATAAAATTGTTGTGCATACAATAAATAAATAAATAAATATAAAGAATATATATATATAAATATAAATAAAAATAAATATAAAGAATATAAATAGAAAA